CCCTAAAGATTCTATCAAAAACTGTTAGAAGTAACAAATGAAGTTAGTAAAGTGGCAGGATACAAAATCAACAGATGAAAATAAGTATTTGTGTATGCCAATAGCAATCCATCTAAAAAACTAAATCATGAAAGCAATAGCAACAAATAAAATGAAACAAAATATAGACGGAAAAATTTAAGGAATTGAATGATCTCTACAGTGAAAACAATAAAACATTAATGAAGGAAAATGAAGAAAACACAAATAAATAGAAAGATTACCCAGTGTTCATAGATTTAAAAAATTAGTATTCTTAAAATGTTCATATTACCCAAAATAGCATACATTCAATGTAATATTCATCAAAATACCAATGGCATCTTTCACAGAAATAGAAAAACAATCGTAAGATTTGTATAGAAATGCAAAAGACCCTGGATAGTTAAAGAAATCTCGAACAAAAAGAACAAATCTGGAGGCATTATACTATCTGACTTCAAAATACACTAGAAAGCTATAGTATCAAAAGTAGTATGCTACTGGCATAAAATAGACACACAGCAATTGAAAAGAAAAAAAATGAAATACTAGCATAAAATAGATACATAGCGATTGAAACAAAGAAAAACAAACCTAGAAATAAATGCATGTATTTACAATCAACCTATTTTTGAGAAATGCACTAAGAAAACATATTGGGGAATGGTCAGTCTCTTCAATAACTGGTGCTGGGAAAACTGGATATTCTACAGGCAGAAGAATGCAACTAGACTCCCTATTTCTCACCATAAAGAAAAATCAACTCTAAATCCATTGAATACTTAAAAAATAGACCCAAAAACTCTGATACTCAAAACTATGAAACTACTAGAAGAAAACAGAGAAAAAACATCACAAACCTGGACTAGGCAATGATTTTTTTGTGTAAGACCTCAAAATGACAGGCAAGAAAAGCAAACGTAGACAAATGAGATTACATCAAATTAAAAAGTTTCTGCAAGATAAATGAAACAATCAATAGAGTACAAACAACCTAGAGAAGTTGAAAACTATGTATCTTACAAGGGGATAATATCCAAGATATGTAAGAAAGTCAAACAACTTAATAACATTAAATGAAATAGTTTGATATAAACATGGGCAAAGTACCTAAATAGACATTTCTTAATACATACAAATGACAAACAGGTATATGAAAAAAATGCTCTTGCACATCAAAGTGACAATGAGATATCACTTCACCACAGTTATAATGGCTATCATTAAAATGACAAAAACTACCAAATGCTGGTGAGGATGTGGATAGAGGGCACATTGTTGGTAGAAACGTAAATAACTATAGCCATTACATACAATAGTATGAAGGTTCCTCAAAAAAGTAAAAATAGAACCATCATACAATATAGCAATTCCATTACTGAGTAAATAGCCAAAGAAAATAAAATAAGTATGTCAAAGACATATCTGCCCTTCCATGTCTATTGCAGTGCTATAACCTTTTCACTGTGTTATCATAAAAAAAGACTCAGTGTACACAAATTATAACCTACAAAACACTTAAATATATTTACATATACATTTAAAAACTAGAATATTTATGCTTGAAGACATAGTTATTAAGCTCAAAACAACCACAAAATACTTCTGTGTTATTACAGTGTTGAAGCGGGATAGACATTGGCAAGATCTTAAGATATAATAAAAATTATATATATGAGGCAGATGTATTTCCATTAATCCTCAAATAGTAATACTATTTGCCATAAAACACAGTGAAATCTCATCTTGTTATAATAACATGGATGAACCTGGATTACATTTTGTTAAGAGAAATAAGCCAGGCACGGAAATATAAACTGAATGATGTCACTCATTTGTGGAATCTAACAAAAGATGATCTCACAGAGGTGAGGAGTAGAATGGTTACCAGAGGCTGGGGAGAATAGTGAAAGGGAGGTATGGGAGAGGCTGGTCATTAGGTACAAAGTTAGACATGAAAATAAGTTATGGTGTTCTATTACACAGCAGGGTGACTATAGCAAACAATGTATTGTGTATTTCAAGATAGTTAGAAGAAAATATTTGAATGTTGATGTGGTTTGGATCTGTGTCTCCACTGAAGCTCATGTTGAATTATAATCCCCAGTGTTATAGGTGGGGTTTGGTGGGAGGTAACTGGATCACAGGAGTGGATTTCTCATGATCGTTTAGCACCATCCCCTTGGTGCTGGTCTCATGATAACGAGTGAGTTTTCATGAGATCTGGTTGTTTTAAAGTGTGTAGTGCCCACACCCCCATGACCTGTTGCTCCTGCTCTGGCCATGTGACATGACTGCTCCCCCTTTGCCTTCCACCGTGAGTTCAAGTTTTCTAAGGACTACTCGGAATCCAAACAGATTCCAGTATCATGCTTCCAGTACAGCCTGCAGAACTATGAGCCAATTAAACCTCTTTTCTCTATAAATTACCCAGTCTCCGGTATTTATAGCAACACAAGCATGAACTAATACAAATGTGATCACCACAAATCATAAATGTTAAAAGTGATGAACATGCTAATTATCCCGATTTGATTATTATGCAATATATACATGCATTTAAAACCCCCAACTGTACCCCATACATATGTACAATTATTACATGTCAATTATAAATAAAACTTTTGGAAATGATACAAAGTATTATACTGTGTAAAATGTCTTAGAATGCATTTAATAAGTTGATCTCTACATTTACATACCCTTTTTATTGTCTTAAATCTTTTGTGAAACAGAGGGAGATAAATTGATGATACATGAATAGAAAGATAGATGAATAAGTAGATATAACTATAGATGAATAAGTAGATATATAAGTCATACATATAGAAACATTATATATGCACATGCTACATAAATATGTGAAACATTGAGTCACTGAGATTATTACAAGCTTGAAGAATCTACAATTACATATATTGATTTTAAGGATGAAATTATAAGCCATGTTTCTGAGTTGATAACATACTGCAAACTCTTAGGAAATATATCTTGTTCAAGGACCACCTCCCCTAACCTTTACATTGTTATTATAGAAAAAATGAGTTAATGCATACAAGTAAGTGTACACTCTGTAAAGCACTAAAAATATGTGTATATATACATTTATAAAGTAGAATATTTATGTTTGAAGACATGATTTCTAAGCTTAAAAACCACCACAAAAACATTAATATAGGATTATAGTGCTGATGCTGGATAGACATTAGCAATATCTAAATATATAATGTGTGTGTATATATATATATTTATATGGTTGATATATATATAAATATATGACTGATATATTTTTATATATCTCTATTAATCCTCATATTCTAGAATAGACTTTTCGTCTGAACATTGGATACGTTGTATCAAAATTTTAAGAAAGGCTCTCAACAACCATTCCTTCAGAGTGTGAGTAGAATTTGTGAATAACAGGAGATAGTATTCTGCTGATATGCTACATTATGAAGTACAATTGATCAGTAAGATAAAGACAGTATCTAGGTTGCTTGAATCTAACCATTTGAGCCATTTAGGAAACAAAGTTTTTCCTCAACTGATAGTGGTTAGGAAGGCTGAAAAAAGATAAGACTGATTTAACTATAAAGACTCTATGAAATATTTCAGGTTTGAAGATGTAGGGGGCGGTATTTGAGAAGGAATTTAGGCAGTTTCTAAGAGCAGAAAGCAGCTCATAGCTAACAGCAGGAAGAAAACAGAGATATCAGAACTACAGCCACAGAGAATTAAATTCCACCGGTTGAAATGTGCTTAGACACTGATTCCTTCTTTGAGTCTCCAGGTAAGACATAGTTCAGCTGACAATTTGATTTCAGTCTCGTGAGACCCTAAGCAGAGGACCTAGTTAAACCTGTAAGCTTTTGAATTATAAAATTATGAGATTAAAAATGAGTATTGCTTTATTTCACTAAATCTGTAATAATTTGTTATGTAGTAATAGAAGACTGACACATGCTCATTATAAAAATATCATTGGCTCTCTAAGATATTACTAGATCATACACATTTAATTAAGAAAGACAATAAGAGATTAATTAAAGAGATGATAACACAGAAGACAAGTATTGCTGGTTGCCCAGTCATGATTTAGATTTTAATGTATGATGATAGAGTAAATGCATTAGATATTAATATTTGTATAAGCCACTATAGACTATAAAATGCTCAACAAAATATTATAAAATTAGAAATTATACTTTGCTTATTAAACCATCATGTTTCAGGAAAACTTCCTTCGATATTCTCCTTAAGTCAGATAGTGAAATAATCAGATCATAGAAATCCAAATTATGGAAGGCTCCCATCCCAGCTCTAGTGCCTCTATAATTTATCATTGTGTAAGATCGGTTAGAAACTTTCAGTCAAACTACTAATATTTTTGTAGTTTACCTTTTATAGTAGCTGATATTTAACAAAATTATTTCTTTAAGACAAAAAATAGTGAAGACGTTTTAAAAAGAGCTAAACAAGAGCAACATGTTTAAATGCCCCTCTATATAGTACTAGTATTCGTTTACTAACGGGGTAAGATCGTGAATTTAATAAAAATGTACTATCTCAGATATATCAATATGTTTATAAGTTTAAAAAAGCATATAGCTTTGTTTAAAATATTTTGTGTATGAGCAAACAATAAGTTTAAAATGAGAGAAAGACATGTAAAGTTTTACAAATGATTTAACAAAAGTTACAGGAATAAAACGGAATTCAGGATTGCAGCTGATTCTCACAGATAAATGTTTAGACTTACCTTTTTTCCCTATCAGTCAATAAGTTACAACTACATGAAAAAAAAAAAAATTATTTTATTAAAGTGTAAAATCAATTGATTACTTTTAAAACCCCTAGCTAGATTTAGTCAGTAATAATAAGTGAAAGCAAATATTAATCTTAGAATTTTAGAGAACATAAAACACAGGTGTCTCCTTTTGTTTTACCCCTTTAATTCCAAGTGCTCTTGGCTTCTTTATGATGTCACCTTTCAACATCACCAGTTTGAACTTACAATACTTAAGTCCTGGCAAGTCATAGGTGGGGAAAATGTCTCTCCCAAGATTGTAAGTCACATTTTATGTTTTAAAATAACTGAAATGCTCATTAGCTTTACATTTAATTTATTCAGTGTGAAGCGATGTTAATTATATTATTATTGTGCCATTCATAAGCAAAAGATAATGTGTTTAAGCAGACAAAGATTCTCAAGCGACATAACAGATTTTTTTTTTTTAATTTAAGATATCGTTAGTGCATGCATTTCAGTAAAATAGATACCTGGCTTTGAATAAGTCTTTTTTGTTGGTTTTTTTACTGTTAGTCTTACTTGATATTTTTGTCACATTGCATTTTGGGTGATATAAAATAAAATAATTCATGATTTTCAGTCAGGGAACCCCTTGGAAATTTCTGTGAATAATTTTTGTGTATGTAATAGTGACTGAGGAATGTGACTGAATTTTAGAGGAGGCATATATCACAATATTAACCTTTAGTAAAAATGGGACAGCTCTATCCAAATACGACTAGCTGAATACTAATTGTATCCCTCTTGCAAAATATTGAGTATGTGAAAGTATTTTGTAATGTAAAGCAGATAATCCAGACATGAGAAGTAAATTATATGACAATAGCTTACTTACGCTTAATTTATTCTGTGTCAAAATAAGGTAGGTAAAGAACACATTTCAATTTTGTAAACCTTTTTACAGAGGACATGCAACAAAGGTGAAGGAATGGAGTTTTGCAATATAAAGTATGGGTGGGCCTTCATTTAGCAGTATTGTTAAAGGAAAGATAAAACATGAATTTTGAAAATAAATTGGCTTTCCATAGATGCTGGTGCCTACTTTGTATAAAACAATCATTAAAGTATAATTTTTGGTAAAGGTTTAAATGCATTTGTCATGATTACTTTAGAAGCTGAGTAACTTGATGCCTACTACGCAGTAATCCGTGTTCTGGCACCTAATATGGCAGAATTACACTATATTTTAATTACTTTAAAATGTACACTGTATTTTAATTACTTTAAAATATATAAGCACTGTAAAATGTCTATGCTATTATTGTTATCATGAGCATCAAATAGCTTTCGGAGAACTTGACCACAATGGTTAAAAACCTCTTTTTGGTCTTATGGCTATTTTTAATCCTGTTATTCTAGTGTAATCCCAAAACATTCTTGTTTCTGTAGGAGGAAACTGATAGAATTCATAATCAAATGGCATCACTATTAACCACAAAAGCACACATAAAAAATCTTAATAACAAATTAGCATGTTTCTTTGGGTTCAAGTGACAGCTCCCAATTCATTTAACACACAAAATTTAAGATGCAGAAAATTAATTTTCAGCTCCATTTGTCTTTTCACTAAATTCTTCTAAGAATGGCAGAGCCTTAGTTTTGGACTTAACATTTCTGTGCCTATGGCTATCAACTTGTATCTGATAAAGAAAATTTTTCTGTTTGAACTCAGTTTTTCCCTTCCCACTTATTCCTTCTCTAATACCTTTGCTCTATCCATACCTGAGCTACACCATTTAACAGTTTCATCTCTTCTAGCCTTGGCCTCAAATTTAGGTTGTGTTAGTCAACTCAGCCCGTTTCTAAAGTTGAATAGAACTAAGATTTCTGAAACAAGTAGGAGAGGATATCACAAATATTTGATGTGAGATAGGGGATCTAAAAATATTAACACTTAAAATTCCAATATTAGCTTCCTGATCTCATATCTAATGCGTATTTTACATTTTTCTCTCTATTGAGTAGCATTACTAAACTCATCTCTTCCTATCCGGGTCTAGAGATTCACCTTGATGTAGAGAAGGGTTTATCAATCTTGGCACAACTCACATTGTAGTCTAGAACACTTTTTGTTGGAATAGAGGATTAGAGGGTCCTGGGGGTAGGGGAGATCCAGCATTCTGTCCATAGTAAGATACATTATAATATGTTTACCAGTATCCTTGGTCTCTACCAACTAGATGCCAGTATCATCACACACATATACAAACAGACAACTGTGACAACTAAAATGTCTTCAGACATTGCAAAATGTTCTCTGGGTGAGGAGTTCAAATAAACCCATGCTAAGAAATACTGCTTCAGAAAATGCTAGAGAATGATAGAGAATTTTACTACACACAGAGCCATTCCTCAGCAAGACAATAATCCTAGGGCAGTTGACCTTGCCTTTACACAGAGACTCCTCTAGCAAATACAAGAGTGGCTCAGGCTGCAGTCAGTTCCTAGAAAGCTTTCTACCATGTCTTTTATGGTCTCCTTTTGCCTGCAGCTGATGCAGATTCCAAAAATCTAGTCTACTGGCAAGATATCTGGCAATATGCATACAAACAGGAGGTCTATGAACAACTCACATGTAACTCGGGGAGATATAACATTTAAATACTTTGACTTTGAATCTACTATGTATTTTAAAAACACATCTAAGCAGAGATACAGTTACAGGCAAGAGTAAAGATGGGTGTATTTTGTATTTAGATTAAAATGTAATTCAGACTAAAAGGAAAAATACTCAGAAAAATAAACTTGGTTAAATGTTTACCCCTTTTAAAAAAAACCCTTTTTTATACTGGTAGAACAGAAATAGATTTTTCTCTTAAGAAATAAAGTCCCCCATGTCTCTTGCATCTCTACTTTTTATTTAAGAAAACTTAATCCTAGTTTTCTAAGTTGCAAATACATTATATTCTACATGGTTGACAATGGGAAACCTTCTTTACCTCAGAACACGCAGTTACTGAAAATGATTTTGAAGCGATTGAATATATAAGCTTGAAATGAAGGTGGAATTTTAGTTTCTACATTCCATTTAATCTTGGTAAATATGAGGCACTAATTACTATGTTTCCTTGTATACATCCAGACAGTTTAATTTAAGCATTAGTCCTATTAAACAACAGCAATAACCTTTTGACTTAATAATCACATTTTTCCCTCTTCGTAGGTTAAGTCATTAAATTAGATCTTAGGGATTTAATTTAAAATTGTGAAAATACATTTACATTCATATAAAATATCTCAAAATAAAAAATAAAATAAGGGATACACTAACAGTTTATTTTTTAATATGACAGTCTGTTGGGGTTTTTCAATAAGAATGTCAAAAATTGAATGCAAATGCACCCTGACCTAGATAATTACTTGACTATTCCAGAGACGGAAGGAAAGAGATGCTCTCACCAGCACAGCCAGACTTAAAGAAAGAGTGGGAAAATGCTATCAAATCCAGAAGATCAAATTGCTCTAATTGCTTATCACACACATTTACATAGTGAGTAGGGGCAAGAGTATTTGGTTTATTGCTGTTTTGGTTCTTATAAATGAATCTCACTAAAAATGCAAGAGGTTAAAATTTATTGAACTGTCACTAATTCTAAACTCATAAACACTAAGAAATATATAGAAAACGTTGATCACACAAAAAAGATACATTATGACAGATTCCAGTCAATCCAACTTGCTTTTCTCCAACCAATGGCCGTCCAGTTACCACACAGAGTCTTGCTTATTTTTGAAATGAAAAAAATAAAATTGTACTGTGTATGTGCTGGTATTTCTGGACTTTTTCTTTCAATATAGTATTTCTTTGTATTCATTAAAGTTTCCATATTGCACATATAAGTAATTGATCCCTTTAGATTGCTGAGAAGTATTCCATTACATTTATATAGCACACTTAGTTTATCCATTCCTTCATTGATGGACACCTTTTAGTTTGAGGGTATTGTGAATAAAATTGCTATGAACATTTTTGTCTATGTCTTTCTGTGGACTTTTACTTTTGTTTTCCTCCTTTTCTTTATTTCCTAGAGGAAAAGTTTTAGTTCACTCATGCAGCTTTTATATGTATTTTAATAACTTGTTTCTGTATAATTTGCTTTTGTGTTATTTCAAGTTTTAATTAATTTTCCTGAATTTTATCTAATTTTCCTGGTATATAGAAATATACTTCATTTAAACTATTTATCATATAATCATTAAACAAGTATAATTCATTAAACTCTGTATCATATAAACTTATTACATTTGATTGGCAGCTTTAACAATGATTATTATAGATGCCACTGGATATCATATTTACCCAATTGTGTCCCCTACAATTAAAGACAATTTCACTTCTTCCTTTTCAATTTTAGTGCTTTCATTATTTTATGAAACAAAATACAATCTGGATTTAAATGAATATATATAGTAGCTTTATCTTTGCCTTATTTTTGAGTTTTAAGGAAAGACAGTCAATATTCCTCCATTAAGTTTGATTTTAAAAATAGGCATTATCTAGATGTATTCTATCCATCTGTGGACTATGTTCTCTACTGCTAGTTTTCTCAGAATTTTAAATTATGAATGCATATAACTACTTTCTTTCAAAAATTATTCTGCACATACTGAAATGATCAGGTGATTTTTTTTTTTACTTATTTTGTCAATTGGAATGATTGCATTGGTTGATTTTAGGTTAAACCGACCTCATATTCTGGAAAGTAAACCAGATGATCATGATGTATTAGCAATTTTATATGTTTGTCAGTATGAGTTTTTAAATTTTAAGAAATTATGTGCCCATATTAATGAGGGATATTCATCTGTAATATGCATTTTTAGTATTGACCTCAAAAGGATTTGGGTTATTTATATTAGCCTCAAAAATGAGTTGGAACATACTTAGTCCTCCTCTACTTCTTTTCTTATACTATTTTCCTAGTTTCAATGGAGAGATTTAAAACATTGATTTTAAACATTTTTTATAATATATTAAAACTGTAAGTTATTATCTATGAACTTTTAAGCAGTATTCTATAATTTTCATATATTATCTTATTGTTAAGTTGCTTCTTTTTAAATAGGTTTTCATTGTGGTCCTTTTGGACCACTGATTCTTTAAAAGGAGCTGTTTGTTTTTCAAATGTTTATATATTTTCTAGATAATTTTATTATTGATTTCAAATTCAATTGCTGGGTGATTAAAGAATATGTCCTAGAAATTAAAGAAGAAATTAACAGATCATTCTAATGTACTGTTTTGAAAATCTCAGTTTTAGAAATGTTTCATGAACTTGAAATCTTTCCTCTTTGAGAGCTTTTGGAATAATGCAGGTAGTTCATAATCATCGTTGGACATCAACATTTCTTCAGTAGTATATAAATGTACTTTGACTGGATCTGAATTTAGAGATTCAGATATGGTGGCGCAAGTAATTTAGTTGCATGTACTCAGTTTAAGATGATAGGCTAGATAATTTATTGGTGAAAACATATTAAATATTATTCAGCTAATACAAAATTTTATAGCATGAAAAAATGTGCCACGTTTTATGCTGCTAGCTTCATTCTTTAGTCAAGGTATCAAAACACTGCTTTTCTAATGCATAAACCTTAGGTTTTACACACTGTCAAATAAACACCACATGTGTTTGTGTATGAGCACATAAGCCTCAAACTCACTCATGACCAACCATGGCTCTGTATCCAAAATATAATGAAACAATGTAAAGTAATATTTCTCTAATAGATCTTAGGATTTGTCTTCATCACTAATAAACAAAAATTGGATTGTAAAACACTCCTTCATGGGAACAACCATGTTTAGCTAGTAATAAAACAAATGGGAACCTATAAATGGAAAACAATTTGCAATATGGTTTTTTTCAGATTTTCTTTTAAAAGTAATAAAATTCCTTATGCACACTGACATATACACATGTACACACAAATTCATGGGTGCACACATATGCCATTTAATAATTTGGATTTGGTGAAGTTTTGAGAATATTTTGAGGATATGCTTTTACGTAAGCATAGGGTTTACAAAGTGATACCTTTTTTCAAATTCAATTGCAAGAGAATTTGGAGCATGAACTGGGAAAAATAATTCAACTGTGTTTTTGTAATATTTTTAAAATGTATATTTTCAGATGTGCAATTTGTTTACACACACACACATATATAAACAAAGTGTACATCTGAAAATACACACACATATATTTGTGATCCATATGTGTATATATAGTTTGTTTGACCAACCATTATTTAGTACTGTTGTAGTTTGAAAACACATTTGCTTATCTCTATTATCCTGGAGATGAAGTAATCTTATATAACAAAAGATATCTGAGATTGTAAAATAGTTCTCTAGTTGTTGGTTGCAAGTACTGAAGTATATTAATGACAATTTAAAAGAGTGATTTTATATAAATTAACTAAAACCTTTCTTTTTTATTTTAATAGCCAAAGAGTAAACTTTGGGCCATATGATAATTACATTCCAGGTAAGAAAGCATTCAATATGTATTGCAAAACATGTGTGCTTAATTTTATGGTATTATCCTCCATTCAAAGTGATGAAGCAAACATTGCCATGAAATAAAATTGATAATTACCTTTCTTACAGGCACAGTGAACACCTTTTACATATATTTTGCTTTGTTTTGAATCCAAAGAAGTTTAAGTAAATATGTTCAGTATATGAAAGCCGGAAATAGTTACATGTTAGAATTCATACAATCAGATAATCTTACCATTGAAAAGCAATGTAGAAATTGGATAAATAACTTCTTGTTATTTAGAAATTTCCTATAAGTCAGGAATTTCTTCTACAACATTCCTGATAGATTATATCCAGCTTATAATTGGCCCCAAATTTCTTTACTAGACAAGGCAAAGGCATTTGATTTTGAATAACTTCAAATATCAAGTACTTTCCCCTCAGATACTGAGTTTAAATATAATTTTCTTCTGTACATTTTTCCCATTGATCCGATTTTCTTTAGAAAACTCATAGAAATGTCTATTATTTCCACACATTAATGCTGCATGTATCTAAATACAATGATGAAATCTCTCCTTGGTCTCATTGGTAAATTAAATATCTTTAATCATTTCTACTATAGTTTCCAGATTACTTCACCCACCCAGTCACCATTCTGTAGACTTTTTGTCAATTTCCATTAAAAAATATGTTACCTATAAAATGTCATTCTTGGGTGTATAGAATTTACTCTATTTTTTTTTTTTTTTTTTTTTTTCTGGACACGGAGTCTCGCTCTGTCGCCCAGGCTGGAGCACAGTGGCGTGATCTCGGGTCACTGCAAGCTCCGCCTCCCAGGTTCATGCCATTCTCCTGCCTCAGCCTCCCTAGTAGTTTGGGACTACAGGCGCCCGCCACCACGCAGCTAATTTTTTGTATTTTTAGTGGAGATGGGGTTTCACCGTGTTAGCCAGGATGGTCTCGGTCTCCTGACCTCGTGATCTGCCCGCCTCAACCTCCCAACGTGCTGGGATTACAGGCGTGAGCCACCATGCCCGGCCGCATTTACTCCTGTACTTTGGAAAATTATTACTAATTAAGGAGATCTTAAGCCTTAGCACTTAGATTAAATCATATATTTACTGAATATTTATGCCGCCATTGTGCTAAGTACTGTGGGAGCTACAGAAGCAGTTAACTTATTTTCTGTTATTAATAAAATTGTATGCTAACGAAAAGCATAAAGCAAATACCTGGACTGGAAGAGACAGATTTAAAAGGAAGCAGTAAAACTGAATCTTTCCATTTATATTATAGCTATGTTAGTTTTGCAATGACTACTTAACACAGTTATCTGTGAAACTGCTCAAAATAGAAAAATCAATGTTTATTTCCTCATATTGATAACAGAAAATTGCAAATATTACCAAACAAATGAAGTCATAATTTGAATCACTTGTTTATTCATTTACATGATATATGTTGCACGTAATGCCATTTCAGCTCTGATGAAATTCTTTTCACTCCAAAATGTGTGTTTTGTCTTCCTTATTTTAGTCAGTGAATTAAGCAAAAAATCATGGAATCAGCAACACTTTGCCCTGTTATTTCCCAAACCACAACGGCCAGGAACCAAAAGGAGATCAAAACCTTCTCAAATACGGGACAATACGGTTCCTGTAAGCATTGGAAAGATTATATAATTATCGATAATAAGTAATAACTTAGCAATAATTGTAACCACAGTAATTATAATTAGTCTTAAGTAATCACTGAGTAGTAAGCTTGTGAAATCGTGTATAGTTGTACGTGTTATAGATCAAAGCTGACCAACAAGTTTCTGCAATGATGGGAATATTTATCTCTGAGTCCAATGAGGCTGTTAAATACTTGAAATGAGGCTAGTGCAACTAAGGAATTGAATTTTACATTTAAATCACATTGAATTAAAGTAAATTCACATGTGGCTATGAAATGCCCTATTGAACAGCACAGTTAGAGGTGATTCAACATCTACCACTTAAAGAAAGTAGATATGTTTTATTTGCATTTTACTGTATACAGTTGCCCCCTTTATTTCACATTAACTATTTTTTCAGCAACCCCATATTATAAAAATTGTTTCCAAGAAGCACAAAAATATGGAGTTCCTGATATTAGAGTTAGTATGAACATTCAGGAAATGTTCTCCAGCTGGAGAAACCCCTCATTTGAGTCATGGGATTACATTATACCTTTAATGCTTTCTCAATTACGTAATATGGAATTCAGGATTCAGAGTATTGGAAAATAAATATTTCCCAATGTTTCTGGAGTCAACATGGGATTTGCATATGTTCAAAGAAAAGTTTTCACAAAATAAATGTATCATTAACTTGCTTATTTTTAAAAACGTAACCCATTAATTGTGAACAAAGTTCTTGTTCATTTTTTCCTTACTGAGTTTATTTTTTTCCCATTTTTGTTAATATTTGTACAAAGATTAGCTATTTTTGCCATTGAGTTTTGTACATATTTAATTTGAAGCTGAAAACAAAATCCACAATTTCTCTCAAATTAACATTCCCTGTTATAGAGTTCATTATTTCAGTTACCAATCTGATGATACTCAATTTGTGTCTGCCAAGCAATAGGAGTTTCAGGCTTTTATCTTTATCCATGAGTAGCATTCTAAATTCCAGAGACTCTGAAAATAAAAACAGACTAACATATGTCTCAACCTGAAACTATTAGATATTAGAGAATAGTTTCTGATATACCTAGAAATAGAAGGTGGGCAAGATATTCCAAGAATTCTCAAGAACATAGAGTTTAAAAAGCCTCCTATGATTGTGAAGATACACCATGAGTCTACCAATTAGAACCTAAAATCCTGAGGGACTATGAAGATCCTATAATCTGAAAGTAAGCTCCAAATGAGGCATGATTATTCACTAGTTTAAAAAAGGGATGAAAATTTTTTAAAAAAATAAAATAAAGGATGAAATCTCAAACTTCCCCATTTTTTAACAAAAGCTAAAATCTTTTTACGGTTGAAGTTAAAATATATTTGGGATATGCTAACAAAAACTGTGTTATTCACCCACAAGTTGTTCATCATTATTGTAACCAATCTTTCAGATAATTGATGAAGAACAATTTAGAGGAGGTCATAGACAACCATTATGGATGTACCGTTCTTTAATGAGAATTTCTGAGAGACCATCCGTTTATTTAGCTGCCAGGAGGCAGCCTCTCAAACCAACTCATGCTGCCAAGGTGGATTCTAAAGCCGCAGGTGGAGAGAACTTACTGTTTTTGTATTATCTCTGTAATTTTCTGATTAGGTTTCTATTAGAATTTTATCAAGTTTGGATTTTCTCATTTTAAGAAATATTTAAATATTTATCCCCAGAGATTGGTAAAAAAGGTGAAGACAAGACAACACAGAAGGGCACAACAGATTCAGAATCAGAATTAAAACAAGGAAAAAAAGATTCAAAGGAAGGCAAGGATGAAGAGAAAGGAAAAGATGAAAAGCTAGTTGCAAAGAAAGATAGCAAAAATGGTAAAAAGGCTGCAGAGAAGGGCAAAGACTCAGCTACAGAATCTGAAGATGAAAAAGGAGGTGCAAAGAAAGATGACAAAAAAGATAAAAAGGATTCAAAGAAAGGCAAAGACTCAGCAACAGAATCTGAAGATGAAAAAGGAGGTGCAAAGAAAGATAGCACAAAAGATAAAAAGGATTCAAAGAAAGGCAAAGACTCAGCAACAGAATCTGAAGATGAAAAAGGAGGTACAAAGAAAGATAGCAAAAAAGGCAAAAAGGATTCAAAGAAGGGCAAGGATTCAGGCACAGAATTAGAAGCTGTAAAAGCAGATGAAAAAAAGGACGAGGACGGAAAAAAAGATGCAAACAAAGGTGATGAATCGAAGAAGGCCAAGAAGGATTCCAAGAAAGATGCAAAGGAGAGTAAAAAAGGTAAGAAAGATAAGAAGCCCAGTAGTACGGACAGTGACTCAAAGGATGATGTCAAGAAAGAGTCTAAGAAGGATGCCAAGAAAGATGCCAAGAAAGTTACTGACAAAGAATCTGCTGAGTCAAAGAAGGATGAAAAGAAAGATGCAAAGAAGGATGCAAAGAAAGATGAAAAGAAGGATGCAAAGAAGGATGCAAAGAAGAAGGGCAAGTAGGCCTTGGATTAGAATTCGCACTGCAAGAATAATTCAAAAGCATATCTGATGAAACAATAGTGGTAGTCTGCAACTGAATTTGTGAGAAAACAAGAGGTTCAAAGAATTAAATAATTTTTAAAAGGTAGTAAAGAAGGATACAAAGGAGAACTCAGAAGAGATTTATAAAAATGTATAAGAAAGATGTCAAGAAAAATTAAGGGGGGATCCATTGAAAGACTTGAAGAATATATATACTTAAATTTGGGGATATGAAGGATTCAATGAATGATCTCTAGAAAGATTTAAAGAATATTCAGATAAGAATGTTGAAGATAATGACATTAAATCTATGGAGACACACACACAGTTTAATGAAGGCTTAAAAAATCCAAGGAGACAGATGTTGTATCTATAAATTTAAAATAATCTCAAGCTGCATCCACAGATTTAAAGAAATATAGGAGCCATGAAATGAAGTTAAACAGCTTGTAGAAAGTCTGCTCTCAAGTAAATGTAGCATTCCTTTGGGGAAAAAAAAAAAAAAGAAGTAAAAGAAAAGAAAAAAAATGTATTACCGCCTGATGAGCCTACATCTTTCTTTCTGAAGTTTAAACAACCACAATCATGTTTATGGTTGTTGGATGTCCCACTTCCAACCCAAAAGAAACACACTTGGTAAGTCAGTTTTCTTTTATTTTAAGCCAGATTGAATTAATTCTTGTCTTTTTCATTTTTGTGCATACATAGGAGACGTAATAATAATTGAACCAAATTATAACTAGATAAGAGGAATAAGTTCAAAAGATCTATTGTACAGCGTGGTGACCATAGTTAATGACAATATATCGTATTCTTGAAAAATGCTAAGAGAATGAACGTTGTGCTTTCATTGCATAAATGATAACCATGTGAGATGATGCTTATGTCAATTAGCAAGATTTCAGGATTCCACAATGTATACACGCTTCATGACATCATTTTGTACATGATAAATATGCTTTTACTGATCAAATTAAAATAAATTTGAAATAATAAAAATTAAACCAATGTAAAGGTTCAAATTGACACTATTCTTATATTATCTCTAGTTTTCTGATTACATTTCTTTTAGAATTTTATGAAGTTTGGACCTTCTCATTTTAAGAAATATTCGAAAAACATGGAGAGACAACCAAATAAATAAAGCTTTAAAAAGGGTCCATGGAAAGGTTAAGGAAGTCTCTCATTAGAGAGAGGTTACTAGCTTATGATAGATGATATTATTACCAATTAAGCATCCAAAGTTTTAAAACAGAAAATAGCAACCAATTTATTTTGACTGAAAGAAGGATGAAAATCAAAATTGTCTATTACTGACAAGAACAAATTTAAATGAGGCATATGAAAGAGCTACTTGATAAATGGCTAAATACTTCACAAAACTAAATTAACCAGAATTTAACAGAGTGTAACAGAGTAAGAATATATACATAATATTTATTTAGATGTAGAAACAATTAACTTGCTGTCTTTAAAACTATATTATGAAACTCTGTTGTGACCCGTAAGTCCTATTGATTTGAGGAAAAATAAAAAGCAATGTTAAGCAAAATACGTTATCCTTGAACTTCTCAATTAATGACAATTCATTTATTCTGATTTAACATTTTCTTAAATACACTCAATGTTGTTGCAGAACTTGCTAAATGATTTTCTCTTCTCTTTATTATCCCATCATCCATATAGAAACCATCATGTTTCTCCCTGGGTCAAAGCTTTCTAGTGTGCTGATGCCGCACTTACCATCAATTTTTCTTTTGCTCTGGCTTATAAATCCATTAATGATCAGTCTGCTGACAATTTGTCTGCCCTCATGTGACAACACTACTCCTTTTGTCTACCAGGCACTTGTTGCACTGGATTTTTAAAAATATTTTACCACACGTAACCTTACAATATAAAGCCTTTACACTTGTTCCTTCTCCGTAAAATGCAGTTCTCCTAGAACAACGCATTGACTCCTTGAAAATAGTAATTCTCAGCTTACATTTTATATTTCCAGATATTTTTAATAGACTAATTTATTTTTTGACACAGTGTCTCTCTCTGTTGCCCAGGCTGAGGTACATTGGTGTGATCATGGCTCATTGCAGCCTCAACCTCCCCAGGTTCAGGTGATTCTCTCACCTCAGCCTCCCCAGTAGCTGGGACTGCAAGAGCTCTTCACCATATCCAGATAATTTTTGTATTTTGTAGAGATGGATTTTTTCCATGTTGCCCAGGCTGGTCTCCAATTCCTGGGCTCAAGCAATCCACCTGCCTCAGCCTCCCCAAGTGCTTGGATTAGAGGGGTGGTACTATCAAAGACTGGGTGTTAATAATTACATCATGGAGAATAGGGTAATCACCTCTTCAAACATTTATCCTTTGTGTTAAAAACAATACAAATATACTCTTATAGTTATTTTTAAATGTACAATTAAGTTATTGTTGACTATAGTCACTCCAATGTGCTATCAAATAGTAGGTCTTATTCATTTTTTTCTAATTTTTGTGCATTAACTATTCTAATCTCTCCTTCAATTTCCCACTACTTTTTCCAGACTCTGATAACCATCCTTCTACCCTCTACCTCCATGAGTTTGTTTAATTTTTAGATACAACAAATGAGAGAGACATGAAATGTTTCTCCACATCTTTGCTAACACTTTTATCTTTGTGGTAATAGCCAATTTATATATATATATATATATCTCACTTATATATACATACATATATGTACACACATACATATAGGTATATACACAATACATATATGTATACACATTCAATTTATTACATTATACATGTATATGTGTATATATACATGTCAATATAGCAAAATAGAAGATAACATTTAAAATAACCTATATCATTTTCAGTGGCATCAAAAATATGCAATAATTTTATTATCACTAATTGATGTCTACTTATTCCAACTTATTTTCATGAGAAATCAATGCAATTAATCTTAAACGAATAATTACTGAAAAAGGGCACAGAAGTTACAAGTCATATACGAAGTTGGTTGTGTACCAAGTGAAAAGTCTTATACAAGATTACTTTATAATCAAGAAAATGCTTATAAAAGCAGTGGCAAAATTCAAAATTATTGCATAATTATAATCATATTCAAGTTATCTCACAAATTCTTAATCCACAAAATATTTTTTAAGTTAAAATCACAGCAGCAGCAAAAATGACTACTATTTATTTACTACTATTTGCTAAACATTTTCCTCATATTATCACTTAATTCTCACAACAATCCTAATACATCTCCATTTAACTGAAACTCAGAAAGTTTAAGTAACAATAAATTTGCACAGATCGTGCAAAATTAGAATTTGAAGCTCAATGAATCTCATATGATATCAACATTTAGACTGTGGTTATGTAGTGTAATTGTGGATTTGGGAGAATTTTTCTTTAGCACCACAGGTTCAGTTTCTTCATATCCTATGTATCTTTATTTGCAAAAATGTATAGTTACATTAAAATTACATAAAATTATATTATTTTTTAAAGATCTACTACAGAATTTGAGAAGGCAGTTGTTCTATTCATAATTGCTCACCATCAGCCTCTCCTGCTACTACTGTTTCTACTCTCTATACACTTTGTGTCTGCTAAGTATTGCACATTGCTTAGTAATTTACATTAGTTGTATTTGCAGGAATGTGCTGTATTGAACAAATATGGAAATTAAAAATGTACATTAGAATCCTAGATCAAGCATTAGGTAATAATAAAAAGGGACTAAGAAGCAGGATGTAAAACATTAAACTCAAAGAAAAATGGAAGAATACTAGTGTACACCTAAGAATATTGATTCTAGAAACCATTAGAAAAAATAATAACTAGATATAAGATTATCTGCTAATGATTGGTAATGTTCTCTAACCCCTCCAACATAAGGACTTCCTTGGTATATATGCATTGAGAGAGTGACAGTTAACACTGAAACATATGTATGTATGAATACATACATGCATGTACACACATACAAATAAAAGACTGCATTTTTGTTATTTTATTTATTATTTTTGCACCAAGAGGACAATATGCATTGTTCTCCATTATTTTCTTTTGTGAATTAAGCTGTTTGAGGATTTTTTCCCCCTTCTGTTTGCTTAACTTTTAGAATAACTTTAAAACATAGGTTTCTCAAGTACTAGGGGACATGAAATCGTTATATTTCATAAAATATGTTTTATGTCTAACATTGTCACATAGCTTTGATGGCTAAGTAACTTATTGAATTTTGGTACTTTAGGTTGAGGAACTTAAGCTATTTCTATAGAAAAGGTAACAGTCATTCTGTAATGGTACTTGAAACCTGATGAAACCACATGAGTGACAAAAATGGGGTCCAAGTGAAGCTAAACGATTTTGAAAAATGGGGGAGGGAGGGATGGTTAAGAGGATAAGGCACTATTAATACAATTTCAAAATGGCTCAATTTTGCAAGAGATGGCAAAATCCAAAACCAATGCTCTGTGGGTTTATATAGTAAAGTTTTCTAAAGTTTATTTATGAAATAAACAGAAAAGTTTGCCTCCAGAGAAAAAGGTATTAGTCTAAGGGTCATAAACATCCTAAACTTATATGCAAGTGTTATAGTGATTTGCATTATTTTTTATACAAAATTTGGCCTATTTAAAAAGTGAGAGTCCAGGAAAAATATAAAAGGAATTTTTAAAATGACATTATTCCATTCTCTTTGCAACATATATCTTTGTCAAATCACAAAGTAATAACTTACTAATACTTAGATCATAGATCATTCCCCCCGCCCCCCGGGTCCTTTTTTTTTTTTTTTTTTCCCTCTAGTCTCGCTCTGTTGCCCTGGCTGGAATGCAGTGGCATGATCTCAGGCTTACTGCAACCTGCATCTTCATGTTCAAGTGATTCTCCTGCCTCAGCCTCTCTGGTAGCTGGGATTACAGGTATGCATCACCACATCCAGCTAATTTGTTATTTGTTTCATTTTTGCTCTGTTTTTTAGAGATGTGGTTTCACCATGTTGGCCAGGCTGTTCTGAAACCTCTGCCCTCAAGTGATCTGCCCACCTCGGCCTCCCAAAGTGCTGGGATTACAGGCATGAGCCACTGTGCCCTGCCGCTAATGCAGGCAAATGTATGAGGCAAATATATACAACCCCTGGTCTCCTTTCAGTCATTTAGTATTTTTATATGGTGTTCCTTCAGTTCTATTTTTTAACCATTTGATTAACCATTGGATACCTCGTTAGTAGATATACCAGATGAAATAATTCTGGTGTTTTGAACATACTGAATATGGTCTCTGAAGACACCCAATAATTTCTAAGGGAGCTTAGTTCCATT